TGATAAATGCAGGATAAGTGATCTGGAAAGTAAATGCTACAGTATTTCAGTCTAGGATGTCTGCTCAGGGTTGGTGGGGGTGTGGAGGGGGTAGGAATTTTTGTGGAATATGGATTATAACCTGGACTTGAGTGAAGCATTTTGAGGGAGCGGTAGAGACAAAGACTCAGAGGGCTTGTTTGGGGAAGTAAACCAATTAGGGAGACTCATCTGGGGTGTATAGTTGTGGTAAAGGAGCTTCAGGTAGGGCCAGGTTTTGGCAGGCTGGCAAGGGGGACATTTCTGACCCACTGAGTAGATTGAGATAGTGTGGTGGGTTAAAGCAGCACACTTTGATGTCTGTAACATCTAGAATACTGAGAGCTACCATGTGCTAAGAGCCTCGGGTGTACCAGGCACCAGGCTAGCTGCTTTATATAGATCACAATTATCACAGGACTTCCAGATAGCTATTATGCCCATTTTGCAGATGAGGAAACTGAAGTTTGGAGATACGAAGTATCTACTTCCTAAATCTTGAAAGTTAAAAAGCAGTGCAGTCAGAATTTGAAGTAGTCTGCTTTTCAGACATGCCAGATCTTTCACACCAGTCTTGAGAAAAGGTGGATTTGTAACTTAAGGCACGACCAACTAAAATGGGTTTGCTGATTACAGTCCCCTGCCTGTTTTTTAAATAAAATTAGTTGGCACCCAGCCATTCCCATTTATTTACATATGATCAGTGGGTGCTCTGCCAAGTCCAAGTTGATAAGTTCCAGTCGAGATCACTGATTGGTCCTTTATAAGAAAAGTTTGCTAACCCCTGATCAGAAGGTAGCTGATAAAAGAACTTGTATTAGCCTGGACCAGCATTTCTTCTCAATAGTGGATCCATTTCATAGGTCTTCCTCATGCAGATTCAGATTCAGTTCATTTTAGACTGGGGTCAGAGCATCTCTGTATTTTAATTGTGATAAAATCTTGTGTATTGAATTGCAAAGGTACTAAGCATACCATTTGATGAACTTTGTTATAAACCCATGTAACCCATTTTCCATTCAAGATACAGAAATTTTCATCACCTTGTGCCGCTTGCTGTCAGTTCCCAACCCCCATAGGCAACCACTGTTCTGATTTCCCTTACAGTAGATCAGTTACGTCTATTTTTTTTAACTTTATATGAGTGGAAGCACATGCATTTTTTTATGTCTGGTTGTATTTATTTACCATAATGTTTTTGAGATTCATACATATTGTACTTGGATAGTATTCCACATTGTAGGGAATACACCATAATTTGTTTATCATTTCTCCTATTGGTGGACATTAGGGTTGTTTCCAGTCTGGGGCTGTAGGTACAAGTCTTTGAGAACATATGCTGTCATTTCTATAGTAGAATAGCTGTGTCAACCTGGAAATGCTAATTCTATAATTCCATAGTTGTTGGAGGGCCAGATTAATGTGAGTACACTTGTACCTATAGAACTGGAGTTTCTGAACTTTTTCTAAGGACTTCCTTCTGTTTCTTGTAGTCTTGGAATCACTAGGGATTGGGGGGATATATATCGCTAACAGTGAAATTAAATCAGCAGGGTCATTCAATACAAGTCAATATAGACATGTAAAAAATTAATTTCATATAGAAATTAAGTGCTAACAACCTACTAAACAGTTTTTTTTTTTTTTTAAGATTTTTATTTATTTATTCATGAGAGACAGAGGGAGAGAGAGAGAAGCAGAGGGAGAAGCAGAGGGAGAAGCGGGCTCCCAAGGAGTAGGGAGCCCGATGCGGGACTCGATCCCAGGACCCCGGGACCATGACCTGAGCCGAAGGCAGACGCTTAACCATCTGAGCCACTCAGGCACCCCCTACTAAACAGTTCTGAGAGAAAGTGAAAAGACCTAAATAAATGGGAGGATATACCTTATTGTTTTAAATACAGTTGACCCTTAACGCAGGTTTGAACTGTGCAGGTCCACTTACAGATTTGTTTCAATACAGTACAGTACTGTAAATGTATTTCCTCTTCTTTATGATTTTCTTAATATTTTCTTTTCTCTAACTTTATTGTAAGAATACAGTATATAATACATACAATGTATGAAATATGTGTTAATCAACTATTTATGTTATCAGTAAGGCTTCCAATCAATAGTACACTATTCATAGTTAAGTTTTTGGGGAATCAGAAGTTACGCATGGGTTTCAACTGCAGAGATTTGGTACCCCTAACCCTCTGGTTGTTCAAGGCTCAACTGTAATTTTTATAAATAAGAAATTATATTAATATACAGAAAGACCTGATGTGTTATCAGCTCTCCCCCAAAAAATGACATACAGAATCAATATAGTCCCAGCCAAAATCCCTATAGTGTTGTTTTGTGTGTATGTAGAAATGGACAGGCTAAGTCTAAAATGTATGGGGAAATGCAAAGGCCCAAAATAGCTGAGGCAGTTTTGAAGAACAAAATGGTAGGGCACTTGGACCACCAGATATACATACTGTAGTGCTACAGTATTGAGATAGTGTTCTATTCAAGGGTAGACAGAATAATGGAATAGAAAAGAAAGCCCTGAAATAGACTCACACGTTTATGGTCCCTAGATTTATGACTTTCAGTGGGGAAAAGGAAGTCTTTTTCCATAAGTAGTCCTGGGTTAATTAGGTATATCCATTTGGGAAAACAGTGAACCTTACACCATAAACAAAAATTAATTTGAGTTGGATTATGGATCTAAATGTGAAAGGTAAAACAGTAAAACTTTCTATCAGAGAAGATAATATCTTCATGATTTGGGGCACAGGTGTTTTAAGAGCAAAAAAATGTGAACAGAAACTGCACAGAAGAGGTTATCCAGATAGCTCATAAAGATGTGAAAAGTTGTGCAAGCTCATTAGTTATCAAGGAAATGCAAATTAAAGCCATAGTGAGATGCTGTTAGATCACCAAAATTTAAAACACTGGCCATACCAAGTTTTGTCAAGGATGCGAAGCAGCTGGAACTCGCATGCACTGCTGGTGGAAGTGTAAATTGATGTAATAAAGCAGTTTGGCATTGTCTAATAAAGCTAAACATACATCCGCCCTATGTTCCAGGAAATACACTTCCAGGAAATGCACACATATGTCCATCCACCAAAAGACATATGCAAGAATGTCCATTGCATTGTTATTTTTAATAGCTAAAAAGATGCTGATGCAAAGGATTACGTACAGAATGATTCCAGTTATGTGAAATTCAAAGTGGGTAAAAGGTGGTTACCTTTGGGAGACAGGAACTGCCAAAAGCATAGGGAGCCTGGTTGAGGACTAGGAATACTCCATCTTTTTTCTGTGTGTGTGTGTGTATGTGTTTTATTTGAGTAATCTCTGTACCCATTGTGGCATGACCCCGAGATCAAGAGTCCCATGCTCTTCTGACTGAGCCAACCAGGTGCCCCAAAATACTCTATATCTTGACTGGAATGGTGTACATGGGCGTATACATAGGCAATTGAACCATACACCTGACATTTGTGCATTTATGCAAGTTATGCATCAGTAAAAAGGGGGAGAGATGTATGAGCAGATCTTATTTGTAGACCCTTGTTATATAGGAAAATAAGGATGTTGACTACAGAAATGACACGAAAAAGGTCACTTAGGAAAATTTCCTGGTGCTGATGTGCAAGGTGAGTTGTAAGGGGAAGAGATCGAAGGCAAAGAAGCTAATGCAGAAGCAGAAAGTGTGTGGTCATGGATCAAAAGATCCAAGAAGACTGCGGAAGTACAGGGAGGCACATGCACCTGAGACATTGCTATCTTCCATCAGTAGATTTGGTAAGATTAAAGCCTACTGTGCTTGGCTTGGCTCTTTCCAAGCACAGCAGATCTGATTTTTGCTTTCTGCCTTATGTCTCAGAACACTAAGATAATGCTGAAAGTTGATAATCTTAGCTGGAGAGATGATATCCAAAAGGATACTAGAACTTAGAACAGGCCAGCATTGTATTTTAATGAGGCAGTGTGCGTGTGTGTGTGTGTGTGTGCGCGCACGCGTGTGTGCACACGAGTGAGGGGGATATTGCATAGCAGTGTGGTTGGCCCTGTAAGAAATGTGTAAAAAGCCACCTTATTGCCCCACCTTGTCATGAGCTTGGAGTTGCTCCCCGAGACCCAGGGTAACAGTTCCTCCCTTGTCTGCTGATCCCATGACTCTGGGTGTCATCTCAGTCCCCTGGCTGTGTCCCTACAGCAGCTGGTGTGGCAGTTTCCTCACTGAGTCTCAGTGGAAGAGCTTTTGTTCCTGCCTCACGTGTCCTTCCATCATTGAAGGCTGACAGCTCTCTTTTTGTTGCTCTTCCCTTGTAGTAAAGACTGAACCAGAAGCGCCTGGGCCAGGCTGCCTCTCTCAGGAGGGTCAGACAGCAGTGAAAACAGAAGAAAGTTCTGAGCTGGGAAACTATGTCATTAAGTAATTGTTTCAGTCCTTTCTAAGGGAGTTGTGCATTTGGTGTTTTATATGGTACTTTTTTAAAACCCATACCTGTGACAGCTTAGTATGTGTAGAGTTGTGTGTGTATAGACGTAAGCCACTTGGTGGGTGGAAACCTTCTGCCCACGTGCAGTGAGCAGGTGTTAGCACTTGATGCACAGCTGGGGAGTCTTCATGTAACACATCGATATCACCTCTGGGCGGCCCTGGACTTGTCACCTCCAGAGCCTCGGGTGGTACAGATCTCCCTCCAGCAGAGCTTGACAGCATGTACTTTCTTTGCTGAATCCTTGGGCATGAAATTTCTCGTGGTGTAATTCTCAGGTGTGTATACATTTTACACGTGAGTATCCACACACCTGCCTAATCATAAACAGCTGCCTTTTCATGGGCTCTACACACTTATTCTTCTAAAAATACTTCATGAGGTTTTCTAATTTCCAAATTGGGAACCCACCTCTGACCATGTATTTTGAAGTATGTCAGATTATTGGGAACAGTGGAAACTTAGCCACTTTCACATGATTGGTGACAGCATGAGCTGTAATAATCCTAAGAATAGGCATTTGTATATAGAAATGTTCTGCCCTAGTGGCAATCAACTGCAAAAAGATATGTGACTATTTAATTTTAAAATATAGATGAAATGTGATATTTGCATAATTTGCCATTCCTGGGGTCTCATCTAGTTTATATTTAGAAGGCTATCTGTGGAAGGAAAGACATGCCCAGTATAATTGGTTAATTTTAATTCCCTTGGAAAGAAGGGAATGTATACATGAATTCGTGTGTGTGTGCATATATATATGTGTCTAGAAACTGCTCTATTTACTACCTTCATATTCTTTTCTTTTATCCCTCTCAGGATAGACCATTTAGAGACTATCCAGCAACTCTTAACAGCAGTAGTAAAGAAGATCCCCTTAATCACTGCAAAAAGTAAGACAATTATTCTGAATATATGGATGCATTTTTAAAGCTGTGAACTACTTGGGCTATTAAGTCAACTTAAATCATTTTGTATTCTAAATTAATATGGGTGTGGTGGTTACCTTAGGCGGTTTGAGGTCTAACTATAGCTCATTTGCAGGATTTTAGAATTCATAATATCTTGCTCATCAGTCAACCAGTTGGTCTTTTACTGTTTTCACTGTGTTTGATCCAAGGAAGGAATTTTTTATATTTATTATTGTATGTAAATTGTAAGTCTGTTGTGTATATAATTAAAACTGCATTAGTTTTTGTTTATTAATAAGGAAAGAGATTAGCATTTGCCTACAATATGCCAGATTTTGTGGGCTTGGTACTTTTACAGTCTCTTGTGGGATAGGTGGTATCATCTCCCATTTTACAGAAGAGAAAACTGAGGATAAGCAAGGTTAAGTAACTTGCTCAAGATCACTGACTATGGGGGCCGAGGAAGGACACTAACCTAGGTCTGACTCCAGAGCCATTAATCTTCTAGCACTCATTACCCCACACTTTGCTGAAATGCACGATTATCAAGACTTGGAGCAGTGAAGTCTGCGCTGTCACTGCCCATTGTCAGCAAGACTGAAACACTTGATTCTCAGCCTCAGTCGTCTTTTTTTTTTTTTTTTAAGATTTTATTTATTTATTTGAGAGAGAAAGAATGAGAGATAGAGAGCACGAGAGGGAAGAGGGTCAGAGGGAGAAGCAGATTCCCTGCCGAGCAGGGAGCCCGATGTGGGACTCGATCCCGGGACTCCAGGATCATGACCTGAGCTGAAAGCAGTCGCTTAACCAACTGAGCCACCCAGGCGCCCTCAGCCTCAGTCGTCTTGACAGAACCAACCGCCTTCAGAGGGGAGATAGTCTGTTGATACTTAGGTGTATGCTCTTGAGCAAGATGACTGCAGACATTTACAGGCAAGGGATAAAGCAGATTATTGTACTACATTCATGGGAATATGAAAACAAAAGTACAGACTACCCTGCTTATTTTTTTTCTAACGGCAAAGAGATTACCTCTTTTCCCCTTGGTTGAAGTCGGGGGGTCATTCTGTGGTAGTTCAAAGTAAATATTCAGGGACATTTTCCTAGCCCAGCAGGAAAAAATTTAAAAATCTCTGTGTTTAAAAATTTTAGATACTAAGACAGAATATTAGAGCTGGAAGGCAGGTCAGAAACCAACTTTCCCAACAGTCATTTTACAGACAGGAAAGCTGCGGCCCAGAGGGGTGCTGTGGGTTGCCGGACACCACTTAGTGAGTTAATGGCGCGGCAGGGCTAGTCTTCAGATCTGCTCCTACTGGAGAGCTGTGTGCCCCGCGCTTCATAGGTAGGTAGTCTTCTGCCAAAGAAGCCAACCGGTTTCCCAGAGGGCGTGTTGTTTTGAGTACATACAGATAAAGAAGACGCCTTCCCTTTTAGGCAGAAGGCCTCTGTGTTAGGCTGCAGGTGAGCTTGGCCAGTAAGGAACACAGACCCCAGAGAAACTTCTGGACATCCCTCTAGTGAATACGATTTGGCTTCAGTCCTAACAACTTTATTCAGAGTGTGCTGCATATGTGCACCCTAGGTGAAGACGCCAGCTGTTTTTCTGCGAAGTCCATGGAGCAGTATTACGGCTGGAACATTGGGAAAAGGAGAGCTGCCGAGGTAATACCAGTTCCTGTGCGGGCTGCCTCGGGGAGCCTGGGAAGGCCGTAACCGGAAGCCGCACGCGTACTTGCTGCTTCCGTAACAGTGATAACAGTGATAAAATTTACAGCGTATTTTGTTGACTATTTATTGGGAGACTTTTTCCCTCCATTTAAAATCTCACTCTTCAGACACTTGTAGCTAGCCTTTGAAAGGTCTGCTTCTTGTTTCTGCATTGGTAAACATTTCTAAACATCTTTTATGATTTTCTTTCAATATATTACAATGAAACCAAGTATTTGTTGAGTACTTACAATGTGGCAGCTACTGTGCGGATGGTGGGGCTGTGGGAGAAGGTGGCATGTCGGAAGGCGTGCTTAGGAAGCTGTGAGAAGGTTAGTGTGATGGGTTTGGAGAAGTTCAGCGGGCAGAGGGAAGCTGGAGACCACAGGTGGAGACCAGGTGAAAAACCTTCTAGGCCAGACCTGGGAGTTTCAGTGTTATTTCATGAACATCAGTTCCTTTGCTTCTTTTTAAAACTTTTTAAAAACACAGATTTAAAAAAAAAAAAACAATTCTAACAAGTTAAGTTAGCATGGTCATTTACTGTTGGGTGATGTATTTGAACACACTGTAAAGTTTGAAATTGATTATGATTCAAAAAAATTTGTTTTTAAGTGGCAAAGAGCAATGACAATGAGAAAAGTCTTACAAGAAATCCTGGAGAAGAATCCCAGATTTCACCACCTGACTCCCCTTAAAACCAAGCACATCGCTCACTGGTGTCGCTGCCATGGCTACACCCCACCCGATCCCGAGACCTTGAGGAGTGACGGTGACTCTATTGAGGACGTGCTGACCCAGATCGACAGCGAGCCAGGTGCGGCTTCAGTGGGGCTCCCTGGGCCCTGTCAGTAGCCCTAGAGGTGGTTTCATGAAACACACACATCTCTTCAGCTTCTGCAGTTCTTGGGCTGCTTTAGCCCTGGAGGACTTGAAGAACAGGAGCCTTGGCTCACTGATAGCCGTGTGTTCTGTCTCCCCCCGCCCCAGAGCATTGGGCCCCAGCAGGAATGTTCCAGCCTGTGGCATTACAACAGGCACACGCTGTTTGTTTGAGGGCCCCCCTTCCTTAGCATCATTTCTTCTTCTTCTTTTTTTTTTAAGATTTTATTTATTTGACAGAGAGGGAACACAAGCAGGGGGAGCTGGAGCAGGAGAAGCAGGCTTCCCGTCGAGCAGGAAGCCCGATGTGGGGCTCGATCCCAGGGCCCTGGGATCATGACCTGAGCCGAAGGCAGGTGCTTAACGACTGAGCTACCCAGGCGCCCCTTTTCTTTGAAGACTTTCCTAATCCCCCTCCTTTCCTCCAGATAGAACTGACTTCTCCTTCCTTTGTACCCTCCTGAGCCCTCATAGACAAGTCTACCCAGTTTCTTGATGGAGCCACTGTCTTATCTCCAGACCTAGCTAGGAAATAGACTACCCAGTGTTGGAGACACATATGGAAGCCACTGATAGTGTTGCAGATTAGATGAATTGTTTTTTTATTTTTTTATAAATTTTTTTTTTTTAAGATTTTTATTTATTTGTTGGAGAGAGAGCACGTACATGAGCAGGGGGAGTGGCAGGCAAAGGGAGAAGCAGGCTGCCCACTGAGCAGGGAGCCCGATGCGGGGCTCAATCCCGGGACCCTGGGATCATGACCTGAGCCGAAGGCAGATGATTAACCGAATGAGCCACCCAGGCGTCCCTAGATGAATTCTTTTATGGTAAAGAAACAAACAGTTGTGCTGTAGAGGGGAGGGAGCAGGGCATAAAGCATACATGGGGAGAATATTTTTGAGTTTCACCTTAACAAGAAGGGTTGTTTTCTCCTCCCAACCCTACTTTTGTAGAAAAGCAGGAGCTCCACTCCCCATCTGAGGTAGCCTGGAACACAGGGAGGGTGTGTGTGTGTGTTGCGGGGGGGTCGTCCTTAAGACTTAGCCCGAGTTCCATTTTCTCCATGCAGCTCTCCTGAGAGCCCGAATGCAGGATGACCTCTCCTTTCTCTAAAATCCAGCAGCACTTAATATCAGACTATAATGGTTTGTCAGCTCTTCGGAGGACAGAAACCATGTTGGTTATCTCCATGCTTCATTGGTAGCATGTGTGAAGCACAACACGTTACACATACTAGGCTTTCTGTTACGGTGACTGAGTAATTTCTAAGTGCCGGTCAGTGAAACAGAAGAAGCCAGGAGCTGGATGCCCCTCCACCAGCCTGCCTGGGTACCCTTAAGCCTGTCTTGTATCTGTTGTGGACTTCACTTCCTCCTCCATAAGGTGACAAGGATGCAGTGGAAGATTCCGGGATCCTTTCTGGCTTTAAAGTTCTAGTACTCTTTGTTAGACTTTGTGTACATCTACTTATTAAAGACTAGATGCACGGTTTACACTAAAATGTTAACAGTACTCCCTCTGAGCAGTGAGAGGGGCTCATATGGGCGATTTTTATTTTCTTCACTGTGCACTTAAAAATTTTCCAGACTTAAAATATGAAAATCAGTTTAGTCATTAGTATTTGGAGCTTCAGGTCATGGCCTAGTTTTTGGTGGCATAAGTCAGAATTAAATATTTTTTGTCTTAGATTGCAGTCGCATCACGTATATATTGACACAAGTCGCCTGTCTCTGTGCTTGTCTGTCTTATGAATTACTAGTTCTCACAGTTATAGTCCATAGAATTCTAGAACTGGAAAGAAGGTTAGCTCCCTTGAGACTTATCCCTTCTTCTCTGGGTCTCGGACTCTTGGTCTTATGGAGATGGGGAGTCCATTCCTGTGGCCAGCACAGCTGTCCTGAGACAGATCCCCTGTCATTTAGAGTGCCCGTCATCGTTCTCCTCTGCCGACAACCTCTGCCGGAAACTGGAGGACCTGCAGCAGTTTCAGAAGAGAGAGCCAGAGAATGAAGAGGAGGTGGACATCCTCAGCCTCCCGGAGCCGTTAAAGATCAACATCAAAAAAGAACAGGAAGAGAAACAGGAAGAAATGAAATTCTACCTGCCACCAACACTGGGATCGGAATTTGTTGGTGACATTACCCAGAAGGTAGGGGTTGTGGCCTCTGGTGTGAGATGCTCAGACCTTCACCCTTATACACGGACACCAGACTTTCCTGGTGAGGTAGAAGTGTGAGTTTCTTCTGCCTGATGAACTTAGGGTATGCTCCCTGGAATATCCTTTCCCACAGCAGGTCACGAAAACAAATTCCATGTGAAAAGGTTGCTTGCTGGCCATGGAATAGAAGCAGAGTCATCTTGGGATAGACCATTTTTTACTTTCCTCTTTGTTCTCATTTGCCTCCATGGAAACACCGTTCCCTCCTGAGGCACGTGTCCTAATACTGCCAAGTGTTACTTGAGAGGCCGAGCCTTCCCTAACATTTTTCTAGCTCCCAGGGGCCCTGCGCATGGTGTGGGTGCGGCCCGCACGCTCCCCTGTGGCGCAGGAGGGAATGCCTTCTCCACCTTTGGCGGGGCTCAGCAGCGCGGTGGCATCTGCCCACCTGTCCCCAGTATGGCTGCCTGGGACCCAGAGCGGAAGGTGGGGTTTGTTTCATTTAGAGGAGAAAATGCAAAACGGGGCGAGCACAGGTTCCAAGTGTATCTTCATCAAACAGGGCCAGAAGTCTGATTCCAGGCTTTCCAGTGGGTCGGTCCCACAATCAGAATTCCTGGCAAATCCTGGCCATGTTCTTCCTGAAGGAGATTTGGGGGTAAAAGCAGGACTCTACTAGCATGTTTAACAAGCACTCAGAAACAAAGAGAAACAGGATCGTGTATTCTTCCAGTTGTTAGGTCTCATCATGTCCCTTCCCCCGAGTTTTGTCCAGAGAGCTTATAGAGTTACTCTTTCAACTGGTATTCGACAAGTGTGCTTGTTTGGAGAGCTGGGTTTTAGTGTAGAGATAGGAACAAATGGCTTTCTTCCGCTTTTCCAGATTGGGATCACCCTGCAGCCCGTGGCACTTCACAGGAACGTGTACGCGTCGGTGGTGGAGGACATGATTTTAAAGGTGGGCGCCTGTTGGCAGCCACGGGCCTGGGAGCACCAGGGCGCTGGCAGGCAAGATAGTCTGGGTCCTGGGCTGTTCTGAGTAAGGGACAAGGGTACAAATGGAACAGAAATGATAAGTTTTAAGAGTTTTCATTTTAATCAGGCTTAGTGTTTTCTCTTTTTTCTCTTCTCATTTTTAAATGAACTAAATCACGGGTCTTCTGAGTGTGAAAGCATCCATGAGAGTTTCTGTGCTGATGTCACTCGAACGATACTTTTTGGTGCCTTCTGAAGCAGTCTGAGATGAGAGTGCTCTTGTTGCTTTAGGAGGCGACAAAAGCAAAGCCTTGGGTTTTCTCCACATGTCACATAAACAGAGAAACTGCCACAATTGTCCCAACCCTGGGCAAGAGGATGGCAAACTAGCTTCCTTACCCGGCCTGACCTAGCTCCGTCGGACCCCTCTTCCAGCAGGGACAACTCGCAAATAACCCTCACCAGTTTTCCTTTCTTTTTTTTTTTAATGGAAATAACCCAGATTTTATTTTTTTTTAAGATTTTATTTAAGAGAGAGCACAAGCGAGGGGGGGGTGAGGGGCAGAGGGACAAGCAGACTTGGTGCTGAGCAGGGAGTCCGAGGCAAGGCTCAAGCCCAGGGTCCTGGGCTCACGACCTGAGCCAAACGGAGATGCCCAACTGGCTGAGCCACCTACGCACCCCCCACCTGTTTTCCTTAAAAACAATGTCTGCTTAATGAACATTCCCCCCATTCATAATTTCTCAGAATCATGGCCTTTATATTTGTGATGTAATATTTGTGGTCTATTATTTGGACCTTTAGTGTTTTCTTAAGGACTTTTGCTCCTTAGGTACAACTGTTTCCAAAGTTTTGTATATGGGATGGGGTCAGATGTGTCCCTTCCCACCAGCAGGCATGTGGCCATTTTCGAGAGTAACCCTATCTTCTGTCGTAGGCCACGGAGCAGCTGGTGAACGACATCCTGAGACAGGCTTTGGCAGTTGGATACCAGACAGCATCTCACAGCAGGTACTGAGATCTCTTTAGTCAGTGGTACCAGGCTTACAGATGTTTCCTGACAGGTTAGTTGTCCGTGAGGAGGTTTTATACCTCATCCAGTTGGAGATGGAGGTGTCAGTGCTTGGGACATTCTCAGAGCCAGACATACTCAGGGGTCTGCTTGGTCATTTCGAGACTCTCGTGGTTGTGAAAGCTCAGCTTTGCCCAGAGGTCTCTATCTTCCTAATCATTCCTTCAGACACACCACCGTTCATTAGGACTCTGTTCCGCTACCGGGTTGAACAAATACCAGCTCTTCGCAATTAAAGTTGATAATATTGTCCTTGATGTATCAGATGTTGGGGTCACACATTGCATACGTTACCCGATTTGTTTTTCATTGGAGAACTCTAGCCCCCTTTTTAGAAGTCGGGAAACCAGGCTCTGAACGTTCATGTTACCTGGCTTTCCCAGCACTTGGGTGATAGACCTCATTGGCTCTAAAGCTCCCCCACTCACCACAGCTTTGCTGTCGGGACTCTGAGTTTTGCCTTTTTCCTAGGCCCCAGAGCATGGCAGACAGGCCTTTCTTTGTTCCACATCCTTTCAAAGGAAACAAGTATTTTATCCTAGTATCCTTAAAGCCTGTCCTAAATTTGTAAAACTGTATCAAAAGTGCCTGAGGACATAAAGAGGCCTACATTGGAGGACTGTTAGGTCAGACTTCACAGGATTAGGATACCTCAGGCGGTGTGGAAGACACCTTTAAGAAAGAAGGAAGGAGAAACAGGAGTTCCAGGCATGCTCCTTGTCCTGTGTGAAACCCAAGAGTGGGCTGAGTGCCTTCCGTGGCCCCTGCTCACCTCCGTCATCCTGGCTGTGGAGATACAGTAGCTGGGGTGCTCTTGATAAGAATACTTATCACCCTGGCCTGGCACAGCTCTATATCCCCTCCCCCTGACAGATGGAAACACGGTCCCGCAGTTCTGTATCCCTTTGACTCAGCTCTCAGTCAGCTAAGACTGAAGGATGAGAACATCGTTCTGTTTTGCTGTCCACTTTACTTCCTTCTCTTTTCTCAATCCTCAGAGGTTTTTTTCTTCATTGTTCAACGAAGTTCTTGAAATCCATCTCATGCCTGTGACTGGAAGTCAGATTTGAGCCGTAGGGCAGGCTGTGAAGAGGACAGGCCAGTCTTTTTTTTTTTTTTTTTTTTAAAGATGTTTGTTTATTTGACAGAGACACAGCGAGAGAGGGAACACAAGCAGGGGGAGTGGGAGACGGAGAAGCAGGCTTCCCGCCGAGCAGGGAGCCCGATATGGGGCTCGATCCAGGACCCTGGGATCATGACCTGAGCCAAAGGCAGACGCTTAATGACTGAGCCACCCAGGCGCCCCGGGCAGGCCAGTCTTTACCAAAATTAAAGAAATTAATGGGAAAGGAGAGCGAGCAAGAGCACGCACCTGGCCACCCCCATGCAGGCGGCCCTAAAGCGTGCCTCAGCTCTGTCCCCTTCCGGGAGGCCTGGGGGGTGGCGGGGGCTTTTGATAAGTGGATGAAATATTATTAAATGCTTGAGAAAATTGCACCTAATAATGCTTTGTTTTTGGACAGGATTCCCAAAGAAATTACAGTGAGTAACATTCACCAGGCCATTTGCAACATTCCTTTTCTGGACTTCCTCACAAATAAACACATGGGGATATTGAATGAAGATCAGTGAATGGAATGAAGATGCCCCTAGAAAAGCAGGATTTGCAGATGTAGCCAAAGCTTCGAACTGTGATGACTCTTCTCTTTGGGGAAGGAGGTTATTTTCTGTGTGCCTCAGAATATTATGGCTCCCAAACCATTGCCTCCACCTAATTCACTGTAACACCAGAGTGTTCGGTCCCAAATCAGATCCCTTTAGGACAGAAGTTTCTGAGTCTAGAATGAAGCTGTGCTGTCAGCTTGCATTTGCTCTCTCTGGAAAGGTTCCAGGAGAGAGTCTCCGAGCCAGGCCAGGCCACATGTAGCAGGTCCTTCTCTGGGTGTCACGGGGCACCTTGGGCTTGAGTCTCCCTCCACGAGGCAGAAAATAAGTCTGGCACGCTGGTGGTTCACCCATTCTGGGGTTACAGGAAGCTCCAGCAGTTATCCTGGTAATCTTGCGCACTCAGCGGGTGGCCGTGGCGTCAGGGACGCCGTCAGCTACAGGAAGACAGTAAAACCTCGCAGAAGTTGAGAGCCTGGGAGCCCGCATGCCGCCCATTGGTGTTTTTTCATGGAGCACAGGAACATGACTACAGCCAAGGTCAGAGCATAGTCAAGGGATAGGCAGATCCCAGCTTGGGTCCAGGAAAGGTTTGACTGTAACCAAGCAGCTCTTTGTATGTCAGTAATCCCAGGCACCTGGCCGACTCGGACCAGCTTTGCGTGTGTGCCGGGCAGAGAGCTGGTTGCACAGCGTTCGCGGGGTATGCGGGTTACCCCGTGTTGAGTGACCAATGGGGAGCAGCCCCTGGGCCAGGCCTGCTGGGATGGTAAGTCCTGTCAGGGGACTTAGTGTCCTGTTCTTTACCACTCGGCTTTTCCAAAGAAAAGCGTTTCAAGGAAACACTGTGAGTGCCTTAAAGATAGAGAAATGACTGCTGAAGCCACGAGACAGGAATGTCCGTGCTCAGAAGCAGTGAGAATAGATTGTGCCCAGATGCGGAGCCCTCTTGGTGGGAGAAGTGAACAGAAGGAAGAAGGTCTGCAGGGCCCTACATGATGCCCAGTTCCATTACAGATACTCTGTCCCAATCTTCCTAACATAGTCTGTGTCAAAGGAGAGGAGAGAAATTATTGTCAGGAATCTGCTTGAAGGCAATTTGAAGCCTGTGAATCAAACTTACCCAATCAACATAATTGAAGTTTTCGTGAGTTCTGTAGACATTTGGGTCAGGAGCAGAAGGCAGGGAGGTGACTAAGAGATCTGCCCTTTATTCAGCATCTGAGGATTGCAGATGTACAGGGAAATCTGTTCAGTAAGGCATCGGGCATGCCTGGGCTTAGTAAAAAAAATAGTTTAGTACATAAAGGCTCAGATACTCTTTACATTAACTACTGCAAGCGAGGTTAGTGGGCAAGTGCATAGATTTATTCAGCAGTGGACTGTGACAGATCTACAGGATGGAGGATTTGATCCAAATGAGAACAGATTGATTTATTACAGGTATGAAAGCCTAAATTATCTTTTTGGAAAAGAAATATTAAATCATTTAACACTTCCCATATGTGTTAATGTTTCAAATGTATTTGTATCATAACGTGTAACATAATTGTGTAACAAAAATCTACAATAAATCTTTTAGTATTTGTGATGGGTTTTTCTGAGTTCGAAGCACTACTTTGGTAGGTTCTTCTTCCGTGAGGTCAGGAGGAACTGGGATGGGGCAGAGGTATAGGTGATTGGTGTGTTTACATTAACTCTGCCACTTCTTTCCAAAAAGCATTTGCAGCTATGCAAGATAAAGGATTACAGTTACATAAAAGTCCAAAAAAGATTTTGGAAGATGCACGTTGACCCTGGAAATAAGGATTTCTGACAGCTTGGGGCAAAGGAAAACTACCTAATGGAGCTCGGAGCCTCCTCAAAGTCAAGGCAAGGAGGGAAACCACTCCTGTTGTCTGACAAAGCACAACGGTCTGTCCGGAAAGCTGGAACTGGTCTATGCTGAGGTCTGGAAGAAGTTACTCCCGTGCCACAGTCCTGCCATGACCATCTGCTAGAATGGCTAAAAACAAAAATGACCAAAGATGCAGAAACATTGCAGAAATAACCACTTTTTACAGCCCCCTTAACAAGACTAAGGGCTTTGAAAGCTTTGGTTCTTCAAAGGCAGGAAGTTCTGCAGGGCAGAGGTCCGTAGCCTTCTCCGGACCAGGCTTCGCAGCAGCCTTTAGGGAACTGAAGTGTCCGGAGGAAGAAGAATAGGGGTGGTTGCTTAGGCTCCTTTCCTGAATGTTGACCTCGGCCACAGTTTTGACTGGAGCCACAGGACAGAGATTGACGTCGCAGGCAGTCCCTCAGCTGGGGACTCCCTCTTACTGAAGCCTGTGTGAACAGCGCTGGTGGACTTGACCCCACTAAAGGGGAGGTTCCCCGTCTGCCCGGCGTGGGCGGCAGAGTCACAGTTTTTCAAAAGCTGCTTTTGGAGTTTGGGCTAAAATCCTGGTGTTGGTACAGCTAGGAAAGTAGTCCCACTTGCGCTGGGTTTTTCCGAGCTTTGAAGCACCGTGGGGCACAGAGGTGGGACCTTGGTCTCAGTGACTGTGGGGGAGGACTTCGGGGCGCCCCTCCGCTTGGGCCTCACGCTGCATCCTCAAGGCTGCTGCTGGCAGGGCTAACAAACACTGGTTATGGAATCACTGATACCGAACACTTTCTTTTGGCCGAGATTCGCTAACAGGTTGAACTTTTTATTTTAAAAACATTACTCTTTACAGAATTAATACAAAAATGCTTATTATATAGAAACTTTAGCAAATATAGTAAGGTGTAAAAAATTTAAAGTTACCCGTAATTCCCCTTCCCAAAGATAACCACCGTTAGTATGCGCTGCATTTTCCTCTCCGTCTATTTTATATATGTGTATTACCTATATGGGTTGGTACCACACACTTGAGACTATTGTCCCATTGCTTTGGAAGGCCACTCCAGTGACATGATGTTAGGCTTTACTAAGACCTAGAGTAGGTGGAAGTTCCTTCTTCAGAACCCCAGTCTCCTAATAATGAAGCCTGGTAAAGAGGATTATTGAGTTGGGGGTTTTGTGGAAAGCTGTCTGTTCTGGTGCATTCCAAAAAGGCTCTTGGGCAAGCAGTCTGCCTTCAGAGACAGGCCAGGTGAGGCAGGGGTGCTCGCACTGCTGAGGTGCCAAGGCTGCTGCGAAAGGCAGGCCTGTGGTATCGGGCTGAGGTACAGCCTTTCGGTCTGGTCTGCACGCTGTGGGGGAGGGAAGGGTGACACGGGCAGTGTCTAAGGGGAGGGACTGTGTCACTGGCATCAGATGGGCCAAAGCTGCAAAGGAGAACAGAGCTGGCTCTCTGGCCTGGGCAGGAAGGGACAACCGTCACGTCTGTGTTCTATTGGCCATTCACTGTACTAATAAGCACCCTGCCCATAAACAGGAACTCTCTTAGCCACTCTTACTCTGCAGATAAGGAAATGGAAGCTGAAACTGCTCACAGCTAGTGAGTAGAAAAGTCAGGATTTAAGCCCAAGACTAGCTTCAGAGATGGTCTTTTCACCCTAGCCTTGGGGGTGCAGAGGGGTGGTACACGTGAAAGAGGGGAGGTTTGTGTGTCCTGTGACTATTGCATATGACACCAATGTGGGTGGCAGTCCAGAGGGAGAGACCTTGGGATTTGTCAGCCTGGATCCAAGGGGCAACCAGTAATAGCCTTGATCCACCAAAGTCCAGAGGAGGATAAAGATGTATGAGAAGGCGCTCCAGGTTTATAATTAAAGAAATAAGCTAACAAGAAATTGTAACAGTGCACTTTTGCATTTTAGTAAAATCTGAGATTGTACAGTTCATCTGTTCATTTCCCACAGAATGCACAGCAGCAGGCAGTCTCTTTCCTCTTAGAAACATATAACATGCAAACCAATGAAGTCTGAAATAACAGAACCCTTTGTGTAAGCACATGGTTGGGGTTCTGCCTTTAAAATGATTCCGAGCATTTGCTTTGCTGCACTGAAGAGGAAGGCTGTGCCAGCCAGAGCCAGCCCTCCGAGGGACCAGCCCCGCTCCACGTCTTGAGGGGCTGGGAAACGGCTTAGGTAAACGCTCGCCAGCGCGCGCGGGCTGCACAGGGAGGAGGCGCCACAGGGAAATCCCTGAGTTTCCTTACCAAGTACTGCCCTTAGCCTGTGCCCCTGATCTCCAAGAGGGGACAGAAACTCCTTCACATGTCTGACCGCCGGCTGTGCAAACTGGGCCAGGCTCGCTTCGTGTGGCCACGTGGGCTGGGACTTCCCGGCAAAGGAGGCAGCTTCCTGAAGCCGACAGCTGCCTCCTCACAGTGAGCTCGCCCCACTCGAAGTGACGGAGCAGGGTGGGAGTCATCTAGGTGTAGAGAACGGGCTAAAGTCAGGGAATGAGGCTAAGGCCACTTTGTCCCAAAAAAGCTCCCAGTTCTTTGCCAGTGTGTATGGTGTTCCCTTCTAGTTGTCAACTGTAAGGGAAAAAACTGGAATTAGTAATAAAATGTGGGGCTCAGAAACCTACAGGTGTCATTCATTCAGTACTTAAAGCACTCCTCACATGAAGCCTTTTGTTAAAACATAAGGATAGGGTCACCTGGGCCCTAAATTATGTCTTTGAAATTGAAACCCTATGATTGATACTCTTTGGAAACGACATCCTAGTTACTCAACATCGCCATGAGTCACATGCAGGGGATAACCCAAGATTTCTTCAACCTGAATGCGTGGGGCCATTTGTAGGCATCTCCAAGGACAGTCCCTTGGGTTACCACAGGTTACAAAGTTCTCATGCAGCCTGGGAAGACAGCCAAGTGGACATGACTGGTTCTTTCAAGCACCTGTTATGTCCATATTCCTCAGCCGGCACAGCCCAATTCAGTTTACAACGGAATTGATCCTTAAGTTCTTCAGATTTAAAAACTGAAGGGTGGCCAAGAGAGGCAATTAAAAAAAGATGTGAAGCCTTCTGTCGTCGAGGAACGAGAGGGTGGTAGAGGCCCAAAGCCGAGCTGGGTGGTGCCAGTGTCCATCCGCGCCAGGCCCACAGCCCGGGGGGCAGCCGGGGAGGAGTGGCACCCACGGCCCTTCCCCTCAGACAGCAGAGGGCCAGCCCCAGGATCTCACCCCAGTCCCTGAGCGGCCGAGGACAGCCCCGTCTTGGCGGCGGTGGGTTCTGACTCCGCTGTGGCCGGTCATACATTGAGGATCCGGGGAGCTGAAGCCTGAAAGATGGCTGATGGGTTAGGGGTGAACTTCTTCCTCCCCTCAGGGGCCTGAAAAATGAAATGTGGCCCCATATCAGTGTGCCTTTCTCTCAACGCTCCCTCCCCATCACCTCCGGCCCCCAGCTCCAGGAAGAAAATTCCTGCCTCCTCTCCTCTTTGTCCTCCAAGAGCTGAGAATGCTGACCTGAAGGGTCCGTGGGGGAAACGTGCAGGGGGCAGGCTCACCGCATTAGGTCAAATACAGCACCTGGACCTCCTGTTCCGCTCCCGGAAGCCTCCTCTGGGTGGAATCAGGAAGCTGAACAGTCCCAACCTCCTTTCCACCTTCTCTCTGACAACAAATGCCAGGGACGTGGAAGGCTCATCATGATACTCAGCGGTCAAGGGTAAGATTGGGATTTAGGAGGGAAAGGGACACCCTGCTCGCCAGAAAGCCGGCACTAGGGAGATGTGATGCCCCCACCTGCCGCCGCCACCCCCCCGCCCGGCTCTCGGCTGAGGGATGCCTGGGTGCTCAGACGCTACTGTCCTTGGCCCTCGTGCCATTTTGCATCAGCAAAACCTGACTCTTAGTCCCTAACCTGTCTCCTCCCACACCCTGTGCAGCTGGGAGCCCGGCCCCTGGCCCTGCCGTGCCCGTTTCAGGCTGACCTGGAAGCTGCCCCCAGGGCTGCTGTCCCATCTGGAGCTGTGGGTTGTGAGGACTGTGGTGGGTCTTGCCTTTGCGGATCTCGGCGGCTTTACTCCGGTCCAGGCCTGGAACTCCTGTCTGGAAGAGAGAACACGGTCACCAGCTGGCTCAGGGTCAGTCATCCCTCCTGACTTCAGGGGCCACCACCATTGTCCTGTGCTTCTGGGAATGTGCTGGCCAATCTCCACTGCTAAAATCCTGTTTTGGATCTAGATGTGAGCACCTGGTATGTGCTGGGCATCGGAAACCAAGTCCCAGCCCTTCCTTCGACGCTCCCCATTTTGTCTCCAGGCCACTCTAAGGGGCCCGAGACACCCAGAACCAGTGCAGGTCGGTCACTTCCAGACCAGGTCACTGGTGGCCTTTACATCCACAGGAGGTGCTGGTTACAACTGAGAAGGAGAAATAAGGTTGGGTATTAGGTTTACTTTTTAATAACTGGTCTTATGAACTCCTACAAAACAACAGATTGTAGTAACTCTCAAACAACCACAAGCCAGTCTGGCTTCTGCAGGGCACCCCGCACACAGGCGCTCCTGCCTGGATGCGGGAGGGGAGGGGTAGGGGGCGGCTGACTCCCTAGACAGAAGAGCCAAGGCGGGCACAAACCAGCTCCGTGTTCTCAGAGTGCATTTTTTTTTTTTTTAGATTTATGTATGTATTTTTTTTAGAGGGGGAGGAGGCAGAGGGGAGAGAATCTCAAGCAGATTCCTGGCTGAACTCCCCGCTGGGCGGGGCTCGGGTCTCGAACCCATGACTTTGAGATCATGACCTGAGCTGAAATCAAGAGTTGGACGTTTAACTGACTGAGCCACCCAGGCACCCCTCAGAGTACATTTTTTGACAAGGATTTAATTCCTCAATTCTGCACACAAAAGAAGACCTATTTCTTTTAATTCTATCAACCCCCGTGCTAGACAGTGAGCTCAGGAAGGCGGACACCTGTGTCCATAGGAGCCCCTGGCCCAGGCAGTGTTCTGTAGAGAAGTGCCCAGGGGGCCAGGGGCAGCGGGCTCTGCCTCTGGTCCTGCTCCTGGCCAGGAACATCAGTCATGTGGGCTGGACCCATTCTGGTCTCCTCCCACCCACAGTCCTGGCTGGGTTTCAGGCCCAGGGGTCAACAAAGCTGCCTTCTGTCCTTGAGAGCAGCCCAGCTGGGCCCCACTGGGCTGGCCACTGGGGTAGGGAGCAGCTGTGTCTGTCTGTGGTCGGCACTCGGGGGTGCCAGGAGGCGAGCTGGGCCAGGGCCCGAGCAGATCACTTGTGCTTCTGAAGCTGCAAGGTTCCAAGGACCAGCTGCCTGAGCCATCTGCCATTCTGTTTCTCCCGAGGAAGCAGGTCCTCCCCTGGGCGTGCCCTTCTGTCCCCAAACTGAGCTGAGCCTTGGGCCTGGCAGCCCAAGCCTGTCGCCCCAGGGTGGCTGCAGGGGTCCCAGCACAGGTGGCTGCAGGGGTCCCAGCACAGAAAGCGACCAGAGCCAGGAGCTAGAGTGGTGCCCCTGGCCGCTCCTGGGGCAGGGCTGGTGCCGGAGACCAGTGAGGGAAGACTGCAGCCGGGATGGAGAAGGAACCTCAGACCTAGGATCAGCAGGACCCGGTGACTGTTGGGGACAGGAGGAGGGCAGATTTATGGCTCTGGCAAAGAGGCTAAGAGAAAAACAGGGCAAGCCACATACACCAGGTACCTCCCCTGACCAAGCAGGCTCTCCTATCCGCCTGGTCTGGGCTTCAGCTGGACCCTGTGGGTGGCAGTCCCACTGAGGGCCAGGGGCCACCCGTGGCAATGCCGAGTGCCCTAGGTTCTCAAGGCTTCAAATCCCTTCATTTCTCTGAGCCTCAGCTTCCTCATGAAAAGGGCTACTGACCCACGTGCAGGAGGTTAGGATGAACCTTGGTGCCGGGCACTTCAGAGGTCTTCCCTGCCCACCCAGGAAGGAAAGAGAAAGATGACTGAGGAAGGAGGTCTTCTAGAGTGAGTGGAACTAGAACCTGGGCCAAAGGTGCTGAATGGCACCCAGAGAATTCCAGAGGGGAGGCTCTGGGAGCTGCTCGGGAGAGACCAGGGCTGGCTGCGAGAGCAAGAGCCGCTGCACCCATCTGGCCAAGCTAGTGAGGCCGGTCAGTTTTCACAAGACGAGCGGGACCTGGCGAGCAGCCACAAGGACTCCAGTGACTTTGGGTTCCCTGGATCTGTTCATTTTTGTTTTGTGAATCTCTTCAAACAGTTTGCTCAGATAACATGCGTCCTACAAGGAGTCAGAATGGAGTTTCCCGCATCAAGTCCTAGAGCTGGGAGGTGAGGGGTCCCAGAGGTCAGCTGGCATGGGGTTGGCGGAGCCAAGTTCAGCAGCGGTCCTGGGTTCTAGGCCAGAGTTGGGGGTGTGGGGACCCAGGGAGTCAAGCTCTGGCTCTTTCTGTTTTACAGATGAGGAAAGGGTCAGAGAGGCCAAGTGACGCGCCAAGTTTATACCCCAGGAAACAAGAGCTCCAGTGAGTCCCAGCTCCTGGCTGTAGCTTTCCACCACTGCAGGACACAGCTCAAGAAACGAAGGGGTTGGGGCGCCTGGGTGGCTCAGTCAGTTAAGCGTCTGCCTTAGGCTCAGGTCATGATCCCGGGGTCCTGGGATCGAGCCCCGCATCGGGCTCCCTGCTCAGCAGGAAGCCTGCTTCTCCCTCTCCCACTCCCCCTGTTTGTGTTCCCTTTCTCGCTATGTCTCTCTCTGTCAAATAAATAATCTGAAAGAAAGAAAGAAAGAAAGAGAAAGAAAGAAACGAAGGGATTCAGAGGCGGCAGCATCTTAGGGGGTGAGGTCTTGGAGAGATAATCTATGGGAAGTCCTGAGCCTGGCTTCTGGTACTTGGTAAGCAGAGAATAACAACTTGTACTTTTGTTATCACTGGAGCTGGGAGGGCCCAGCGAGACTTTCAAACCCTCCATCTGCTCAACACAAGTGAGGGGCCGCTTCTAAAAGCCCCGCCTTTGCTTGAACGTTACCAGTGAGGAGGAGCTCAGCCGCACCCCGGAGGCCACTCACTTCATCATCAGTCCACTGGAATTACTAGAAAGCTCTTCCTTCCCTGAGCTGAAGCTAGCTCTGCGCGGGCTCTGCCTCTGGTCCTGCTCCTGGCCAGGAACATCAGTCATTTGAAGGTACTGCACACCCAGGCCCTCAGGCCTTGCGGACCTCTCCCCACTCAGGCCCCTCCAGCTGGCTCCCCGCCGGCCTGAAACAGCCCAAACAGCCCAAACAGCCCGAACCCTCCACGGCGGGGTGAGGGCCCCAGCTGGGCTCGGTGTTGGCCCTGCCTGCTGACGTTCCCCTGTGCGTTTTGGCAGCTCAGCTTGAGCATGCATCGGTGAACACAAGACCCATCCTGCAACTACCTTTCCCCGTCAGGTTCCTGAAAAACTGCAGGCCCATGAAGGAAGCCTTGGGGAAATGGAACCTTCTACATGTCTTGATAATTAATCCATGGAAATTCTACCTTAATGCAGTTGATTTTAAAAATAATAAAACTGAGGGGGAAGTTCATACCTTTTTGCTCTAATTCCACAAGTCAGAATTTCTAAAGAAACTGATATGCGCAAAGACGGCTGGCTATAAGATGCTCATCAATTATTTTTTTCCCTTAAAAATGTGTTTTTTTAAAGGTAACACGTGTATGTGTTTAAAAAAACAGTTCTTTAGAGTGTGAGACGTCAGTCAGTGCCCTTCCACCCCTGGCAGCATCCCTTCCTCCCCACCCCCTTCCTCTCCCCAAAGGTTCCTGTGTTTCCACACATCCATCCAGAGATATCTGTGCTTATTTGAGCAGATACGTGTTTATCAATACCCCCTTTTAAAAACCCAAACAGCAGACACACTGTTCTGCATTTTGTTTTTTTGACACATACCCATCCAAGATCTTCAGACCTTCCGCTATGAGTACATCATAGGCCTCCCAGTAGCCCATCCTATGTAGAGCTATAATTAACCAGCTACATCAGTAGGACAGTGGGATTGTTTCCATCTTCTGCAGTACAGTGTTGCAACATACCTTATATTCCTTAGCTCCCACCCCACATTCAAGGATACTTGCAAGGAAAACTCCTGGAAATGAAGTACTGGATCAAAAGAAGTGTTTTTAATGGTCCCAAATTAGAAACATCCTAAATATTCAATAATGACAGATTAATAGTTGGATATATATATCAATATATGGACAAATGTATATCCCTAGGATAAAACACTGCACACCTACTAAAATTCGTGTTGTAAAAAAAAATATCTAGTAACATGCAGTAATCCAAAATTGATGGAAAAATGTGTACAGAATCTAAACCTATAAGAATTACAAATGGATATGAACTCAAAGGTTAAGGATTAGAAAGAACTACCAGTTTGGATGGGGTTAAAGGAATTAATTTGTTGTAATTTCCAGTTTTTCTACGGTGAGTTTATATTACTTTTGTAATAAGACAAAGAAGAAAGCCCTCAGTTGTCCAGGGCCAGAGCTAAGGTGGGGGCAGGGTGGACCCGTAGAGCTCAGTCACTCGGCGAGATCCCCCGGGGGCCACCTACTGGGAGCCGCAGCTGGTCCTCACCACCAATGCCTCCACGGAGGGCACCGGGCAGAGCGAGCTCTGGCAGTTGGCCTGCATGCACCCTGCCTTTCGCTAGCCCACCTGGTGGAAGTTAAAGCAGATTTTAACTCAGTTGAAGGCAGGGCTTTCTGGGAAGGCTGCCCGAGAGGGGTAGAGGGGAAGGGGCTGTGAGCAAGGTAGTGAGCTCCCTGTCAGCAGAGGTGCTCTGCTCATTCACTCTGAGGCTGGTCAGGGAACAGCGAAGGCGACACCTCGCAGTGCCCAGGGACCAAAGGGGATGACCTCCGAGGCCGCCTACAGCTCTCCAAGTGGTGTGGGATGGAGGCTCCAGGTGCCTTCTCCCTCCCCACCAAGCTGGTCCTCATGGTTCACGGCCTCCGTTTCCTCCTACCACGGGGTCTCGACTCGACGCGCTCCCCTGCCCGAAGTCCCATACCTGTAAGACGTGGTCACCGCAGCCGAGTCCGCGTCGCCAATGGGGAGCACGTAGACACCCCGGCCAGGGGCCGCGGGGGGCTTGTTCCTGCGGCCGCCCGCACCCGACCCGCGCCCCTGCGGAGCATCTCTGGGCCCCGCGGGAGCCGTCCACACGCCGAAGTCCCGCTGGTACTGAGTGAGCGGCACGTCCCGGCCGGGGTCCCGGGCGCCTGCAGGGGACGGGCCCCTGCGGCAAGCGGCGCCGCCTGGGCCCGGCTCCTCGCTCTCGAGGTCCGAGTAGCTGTGCAGGGTCAGCGGCACTGCCACGTCGGAGCGGTCCAGCTGGTTCCAGCGCCGCGCCAGGCAGCAGAGACGGCTGATGCAGGGCCACGCCATGCCGGCCCCCGGTGCCCGCCGCTCGGCTCCCGGCGCTCCGGGCCGCACCGCCCCCGCCCGGCGTCCCCGCCCCCGCGGCCCTCCCCGCGCCGCCGCAGCACCGCCCCCTGGCCTGGGGGAGGCCGTCCGGGGAGGGCTCGGGCTCGGTGCCGGGCCGGCTTGGCCTGGGCTCGCGCGCGCGAGCGGGCGGGCGCAGAGGCGGGGAGGTGGGTGAGGGAGGGTGGGGGCGCCCGGAAACGCCTGCAGACAGCCCCTAGTGTCCAGCTTGAAGGTTTCATCCAAAGTTCCTTTAAAGTTATTTTCTAAATCGGACCTGGTTTCGCCGAGAGCGAGAACCGGCTGGCAACGAAGCCGTCGCTGATGGCCCCGGGCAGGCGTGGGCGCAGGCCAACGCTGCCAGGGTGCTGGGGCTCGCAGAGCGGCCGGGGCTGCCGCATTTGCGCTTAGGCTGCTCCGCGCCCGGAGCGGAGGTGCTGCGATGCGGGGGATCTCTGGGCAGACACGGGGCGGCCATGCTTCCAGAGGACACGTGTTTTAATCAGCCAGTGAGTCACTATTTGCCTTTACGATGCTGAATTTGTAACAACCAATCCAGTTTTCATTGAGAACTGGCATTAGCCCTCAACTGACCTTTCCCTGGGTTTTAAAAATCCCTCATTTTAAAGCATGGCAACAGAGGACTTGGCGTTACAAAGCTGCCGACAAATCTTTGGCCATTGCGTTACAAAAATTCCCTTCCCTCCTGTGCATGCATTCTTTTTTTTATTGCAAAGCTTGGGTAATCCTCCAGGCTAAAGGTCAGTCTGTTTAATGCATGACAGGGCATCAGAAACAACTCCCTGGCCACACTCAAAAGACCCTGAGTATTTGACACATGCCCTCAATGTGCACTGCAGACCAAGGACTAATTAATCACACTACTGAAACAGCATTAATTACCCAGCTCCATCTCCAGCATATACTTGGACGGTCTCCAGTCTGCATCTTAGAGGAGAAAACTGCAGTGCAGCCCTGGCCAGTCAGGGTACAGATTCCTCTCCCACACCATACCCTCTCAGCTTCCAGTCATAGCAGTGACAGACAGCTGCCCTGGCCAGGCCATGGGCCAGGAGGCAGCAGGAGAGGGGCACACCGGGAAGACACTGGGAGGTTACACACCTGCTCTCCCTGGGCCCAGCAAACTTTGTGACCTCTGTGCTCCAGGGCCCTGGGTTAGCCACTTGGGACATTTGCTGACTACAATACTCAATCCTGCAGGAAAAAGAAAAAAAAGAAAAAGGTAGCTCTTTTTATTTCATTAAGCAACAAAGAGCACTTACTGTGCGCCTGGAATAATGCTGGGGAACTCCAGGAGATTCAGTGTAGTAGGCACAACAGAACTGGATAAAGCAAGTGAAGTGTGGGGGGGGGGGCACCTGTAACGAGGGAGAGTAGTTGGGTCAGGGTGGAAATGCAGGGTAGGGGGTTGGGAGGTTCAGCCAAAGGCATCTGAGGCTGGATCACGGAGAGCCTTGGGAGCCACACTAAATTTAAAAGTTTTTCATGGAGGACAACAGGGAATGACTGAAGTGTTTTCAGCACTCTGTGGCCATATGAAGACACACAAGGAAATTTTAGAGACCAGCTGGAGAATAGTCTCAACAGTCCAGGTCAGAGACAAGGGGCTGAACTAAGGCGCAGGCACTGGGAATGGAAGGGGCACTGGATTCTAGAAATGAGAGAGAAAGAAATCTAGAATGGCTCCCAAGTTTCTGGCTTCCAATTGGTGAGATCGCTCCTTAAGCTAGGATAGTTGAGGTGCCTATGCAGTGGGGTCCCAGCACCTGAAGCCATACCTGGCGTGCAGTAGATGCATGTACTGAGGACAGAGACAGTCCATGGGCCCAGAGCTCAGAAGACATCCTCATGAAGATAACTGAAGCCAAGGGAGGTGGAAAAAAGACCGCTGCATTCCTGGGGGCACCACACTAACAGGCCGGTAGAGACGACACAGGCTGAGAGGCACACGAGCCAAGCAGACCATAGCCTTGGGGGGCTCAAGTGTCAGCAGAGAAGCCACAGTGAGAAAACACCCTAGTGGGCAGAGTAGGGACAACTGCCACAGCTATAGACGGTACGGTTCATGCTTCCGGGGCTGGGCTCTGAACCTTCACAAGGCCTCTCACGGGGACAGTGGCACTTGCCTGTTCAAAGGTGCCAGCACTGAGAGATGCTATGGACAGAGAAGTGATTTAGGGACTTGACCTTCTAAATGCTCCCTCCCGAGGCGCCTGGGTGTCTCAGTCATTAAGCGTCTGCCTTCGGCTCAGGTCATGATCCCAGGGTCCTGGGATCGAGCCCCACATCGGGCTCCCTGCTCCGCGGGAAGCCTGCTTCTCCCTCTCCCACTCCCCCTGCTTGTGTTCCCTCTCTCGCTGTGTCTCTGTCAAATAAAAAAATAAAATCTTTATAAAATAAATAAATAAATGCTCCCTCCCTAACCATCACAAAGCGGGAAAACATGTCCTGGCCTGCGTTCCCAGTCTGCCCACAGCAAGACATAAATTTCATTTTGGACTCCGTACGGAATGTCTGTGTGATCTCAGTCTCCCATCCCATGTCTGAGAAATGCTTCTTGCCTCATCTGTGTATCATGGGGTTGTTAGCTTAATATATTCAGAAATGTCAAAGCACAGCAGTGTGACCCTAAGCAGTTCCCACACACAACCACCCTGGTTCCTTACCAGCAAGATGAGGGCTAGGTTAAAAAACAACAACAAAACAAACACCTCTCTCCTGGAAGTGACATTAGGATAGAATCCTCTCTGCCTGGTAAGAGTAACTGGTATTTCACACTAGAGAAGATCTGGGGGGAAAAGAATATGAAGAACTGTCAAATCCTAGACAATTCCTACATCCGGGGACGTGTTGCCATTCAGCTCAGCATTGTGAGGTAGGCACAACTCACTCCTTTCCATGAAGCCCAACCTCCTCCAAGACAGATGGCTGCATTCCTCTCCAGGTGCAAGAACCAGTATTACCTCTTGAGGACACCAGACACTGAAACTCTCCTATAAATCATCTCAACAAATACTATTAAAGTTCTCAACATGCATTTCTTGGAAATAATTTTCAATCATGAGGGCAAACAAGAATTCTACAGGGAAGCTGTTCTGATGACCACTGCTAGTTCAGCATTATGCTTCAATTCAAAGAATGTACATTTTCAAATGTAAGATGCAATTAGGCTCAGATTCAAGTCTGAATTTATCCAAGATATTTCCTTCTAACCCTTAAATTAGCTACAAGCTACAATTTTAATCTAGAAAGCAAAGCCTAAAAATAGCTTTTTGTATATGCCACTCACTGCCAGAAAACATTACCTTTCTTGGGAAAATTTAGAAAATACTACAGCTGTTATTTTCAGTTCACGCCAGACAGAAGACTTTTTTTTTTTTTTTTTACCTGCCAACCAACCAAAGAAAGGGGTAGGTGGGTAAGTAGAGATGCAAGAAGGCCAAAGTACAAAAACAAGCATCTCTGAGTCTCAGGTCTTTCCCTGTGCACTCCCGCCAAGTTCACAGCTCCAACTACATCAAATATAACAACTAACAGCAAGATTCCAGGGCACCATTCGTGCTCTTCAGAAGGGACACACACCCTCTGTATACAAACTAGAGATAGAAACCTTTATTTCACAACTTTGTCATAATTCACTTTCTAATAAGACATGTACTGGGAACAGAGTTTAAAATACTGGGAAAGCTAGATGCCGGGTGTCTTCCAGACAGGAGCAAAGATGTGGTCACTCCAGGGCCGACGTGTTCCTGGGGTTCTCCGGGCAGCATGGGCCACACGCACCAGTCTCATCCAATCCCAGTTTTACTTAGAGCCGCCTCCTTTTTTGGGGCTGTTAGTCCTCATTTCATGCCAAATTTTCACTAGAGGCTCCCTGTTCTTCCAAATGAGTTCATGACCATAAGTAATATACCATCTGGGGAAAAGAAAAACAAACCAGGTTCAACATTCAAACAGTATGACATACAAATGTTAAGTACCATGATGATATCAAGTTGACATTTAAAAAATTGAATGCCATGGTCATTTACTATCTTGATTATTAAATGGCTAATTTATTTGATGTAGATCAATGATTCACCTTTAATATGGAGTATGTGAAAGGCTGAAGTGGGACGGACTATGTACAACACATACTACTGTTGATTCACCACTGCAATTAAGCATCAACTCCCTCCCCATTAAGACATGAGGAAACCAAGTCTCAGAGAAAATTTGCTCAGGGACTAACAGCTTCTAAGTGGTCGGTCAATGACTCACCTGAAGGTCAGACAGATTCTAAGCCTGGTCTCTCTTTACTACATTAAATGGAAGAAATGTCAGCATTCGAGGTCACTGATGATGGCTTCAATAGCTTTTTTTTTTTTAAAAGATTTTATTTGAGAGAGCATGAGAGCACAAGTAGGGGAGGGGCAGAGGGAGAAGCAGGCTCCCCACTGAGCACGCGGGGCTCCATCCCAGGACCCTGGGATCAGGACCTGAGCCGAAGGCAGACGTTTAACCCGAATGAGCCACCCAGGCGCCCTAATGCGCTTCAATAGTTTAAATGCTTCTCATCTTCCACCTGCTACACAAAGGGTCATATGCTGATCCAAATTCTGCCCATCTTTTAAAATAAAATATAGTTCCAATCCCCATTCTGCTGTTTAAAACTGCCTAAAAGCAGCCTGAAGCAATGAGCTGAGGAAGCTGCAGCACCGAGAGGTTTAGTAATTTACCCTGCCCAAAGCTGCACAACTAGGGATCACCAGAAAGGACACTAGAACCAAAATCTGACTCTGAAAGCTGTGCCCTCACCACCACTGCAACATCTAGTGAGCATCTAAGTTGAAGAACACACAGCTGAGTGACCAATGAGCAGGGCCTGCCTTCAGAAGCCCATAGGCCTAGGTACTACAAGACCAGAAGCTCTACCTGAGGGAGGCACAGTCTTAGCAGAACTC